TAATACGACTTATTGAAGCAGTTTACAGTAAAAATACCTATTATAAAAGTTGGAGGGAAGAATTTTTTAACAATCGAAATAAGCCCGATTTTTTATATTTTTATTAATAATTAATAGATAAAAAGTAAAAAAAAAAAATTGTTAATTTTCCATGCGATATTGGACGATTGGAATACGATATCGAAAATCGGATTCCTTACGATTGTTAAAAAAGTTCTCCTCTACAATTTTTATAGTAGATATTTTTATTGTAAACCGCTTCAATAAGCCGTATTACACTATTACCTACTTGAAGGAACAAAAGTATAGTTTTTATTTGTATAAAATTCGGATACGAATACGAAATATTAAATCGAACCAAATTAAATAATATTTGTCACAAATATAATAATCATTTTCTTATCTGGTTATTTATAAACCATGTACGGGCGGTCGGCTGCGATAGAGAACCAGTTTTGACCATTGTGCGGTACTGCCGTTAATGCGCGCGGAGTGGTGGTATGCACAGCTAGTATCGAACGCTGCCACTGCCTACGGGCGCAGCACTTGCCAAGCGTAATTTTCTGCAGTTTACTTATAAAACATACTTTGCGCGTTCCAATAATATGGGTTACTGAGTGGTTTAATCGTAAAAACACCTATGAACAAAATTGTAGAGGAGAATTTTATCTGGTTCCGTAAGAAGCCCGATTTTTGATATCTTTAAAACATCATGAAATATATCATGATGAATAATACACTTTTTTTTAATTTTCCGGAAGTTAATTTTAGGACTTAGAAATGAAAATTTCAAAAATCGGGCTTCTTACGGAAGCAGATAAAATTCTCCTCTACAATTTTGTTCATAGGTGTTTTTACGATTAAACCACTCAGTAACCCATATTATTGGAATGCGCAAACATGTTTTTAAAGGAATTTTTCAAGTGATTTTTTTGGGTGACACGTCCTCTTAACCAATTAGAGAATGATCAAAAAGATATTATGATAGTAGATACATTGTGTATGTTCTGGCGCAGTCGGGTTTTTTACAATCAAAAAAATCACCTTAAAATTAGCTTATTTCAACATTTTTACATCAAATTTTGATTTTTTTACATCGAATTTTGACTACTTTTTTGTATACAATTACATCGATATTTCACATTTTTTTTATAAAATTACATACATTTTCCAAAATTTATTTTTCAACATAAAGTTATCAGTTTTCAATTACAATTATATAGATTTCGATTATCTTTCAATTACAAATATACATTTTTAAATAACAATTATACATCATTCAATTACAATTTCATACATTTTTCAATACATATATCATAAATAAATGTCAAACAAATAACAACCAAAGTATTTTCATTTTCTACAACATAAACAGCATTTTAAGTAAGATATGCCTTTGCTATTATGTAAGTTTGATTGTTTTTTACCATGTATTAAAAGCCTTTTTTTCAAAAAAATCCGTCATTTATTTTTTCATTTTAGGACAATGGTAATATTTAGTAATATTTCGTGATACTAAGTTTGTGACGTCAAATAGAACATTCTAGAAGATTTTTTTCTCTAGATTTGTAGTCCTGTTTCCATTTTTTAGGATTGAGTATACCTTATTATGCAATTTGCGCCATAGTATAAAAAAATATCACGTAATTATTGTGTAATATTGCATCATGTTTTTTGGATTGAGTATACCTTATTTTTTTATACTATGGCGCAAATTGCATAATATTACGTAACTATTGTGTAATATTGCATCATGTTTTTTGGAGCTATAAATACAAGCCACCATTGAGTTTTGAGTCATTCGTGGGCATACTGTGGCCTTTTTAGTCGTCTAAATTGCGATGACAGTGAATTGATGCTGAAAGCTTTTTGAAAGACATTTCGACTACAGCCAATGAATCACCAACAAAAAAACAACAACTATGGAGACTTCAACACATGAATACGTGGATGAAGAATGCGATAAATATATAAGTAATGTATTAAATAAATCTGATAATTATTTTATTCCGGCTAGAAGTAGAAATCCGTGGATTACTCTAGGTATAATTAAGTCAATTAAAGTTAGAAATAATCTATTAAAAAACGAATTAAAGCACAATAAAGAATTAGCTAAAGCATATAAATCAAAAATAGTACATTTAATTAAAATTGCAAGAGAAAATTACTTTAAAGAACAAATCAATGTAGTTAATAAAAATAATCCAATAAAACAAAGGGAGTTGTTATATTATTTCTTAAAAATTAATAAATATAAAAATGATATAAAAATTGAGTTTAATAAATTAAATGACCATTTTGTTAATATTAGTACATCAAAGATAAATCTCTATGTACTCTATTATAAATATTCTTATAACTCATTAACATATCATAAGCTTCATTAAAATCTCCTTTACTAAAGTCTAGTTTTAATAATCGTTCTGGATATCTCTTACTATCAATATCCATCCAAATATTTTTCAAATTACAATTACTAATTCTACTGGTCTGTCAATTGGTTATTTAATCTACCTGTTTGAAAAGCTACGATAGCAAATAAAGGATTATGGACATTTCTATACAGATTTGTTATATATATGACTAGTGAATTGCCAGTAATATTTTTTGCTTAAATACATTGCCATGATATGAATCTAAATTTATATTCATTTCTCTTGGACAATAAAACTAATTCATTTATCAATTTAAATTTATGCGCATCTTTATAAGTCACAATTGGTATAATAATAAGAAATTCATCAATAACAATTTTTCCTTTTCCAGGCACCACTTCTGTTTTATCATTCTTGTCTCTAAATAAAGCATCATCGTCAGTACGTCTTAGAAAATCTATTTCAAAACCTCCTCTATATACTGGATATTGTATATCTTTAAAAAATCCTAAACACAAATTAGATAATTTGCCAAAAGCACAAAAAAAAGCCGCCACCACTAAATTTTGATTGAAATCCATTATTTATTGTTGGTCCACTAAGGTCCGCAGAATAACTAACTGTACCTTTAATCAAACTACATCTACCAACATTATCAATTCTATCTAATTTTATACCATGTTTTTTTACACAAATTGATTGAAACAAAAATCCGGGAAAATTATCAACTAATATTACATTTGATCCTTTAGGATAATTAGTACCATCTTCTTGTAAAACTTGACCTTTAATTTTGAATTTTGCTTTTTTAACATTTAAGAAACTATCTTCTTCTTTTACATTAAAAGTAGTAAATTGATTAGGAGTATTAAGATTTGCTTTATCTGAAGGGAAAAATTTCTTATCCTGTTCATGGATATTAGCATAGTCATATTGTGCAAATATATTTTCCATTTATAAGGAAAAAAATTTAATAAAATATAAACAAAATATTTCTTGAGGAATGTTTTCTTTACCCATATCATACACCCTTTCTATGTGAAATTTACGTGATAAATGTTTCTTATGGAATCTTAAATGCATTATTTTACCACATTCACATACTACCTTTTCAATATTACAACTTTTACACCATTTTTGGTTTTTACTAAATTCAGTTATACTCTTGTATTTTTTACATTTTAAACATAAATATACATAACCTGCTTTCAATGATTGCAATAATGCCTCCTCATAAAGATAGCCGATATTATTATTTCGATTAATTTTTATATTTATTTATATACAAAATTTAATTTATAGTTTTTTAGTTTTTCAGGTTCAGTTCATAATTTAAATCAAAATTCTTAATAAAATCTAAACATAAATGACCGCATATAGGTGGATCAGTATAAGTTTGTAGTTGATCAGTGGTGTAATATAAATCATCTTTTCCTAAATAATTTCAATTTTTTTTAATTGGAGGAGAAAACCCATAAGAGTCAAAATATATTTTTTTATTATCATTTTTTAACCATGCAACCCAATGTGAACCAGGTTGACTAGAATTTTTTAAATTTAATATTCCACATTCATTTTTCCATGGCACTGCCGGTAGCTCATCTTTCATAAAACAACCTCTAAAATTTTCAATATTTTTTGATGCATTAATAATATCAAAGTTAGTTAATGGTTTTATTTCTATCTCTTTTTTTTGTTTTTTTTTAGACTTGAGTCAATCTGTAAAGTCTTAATATTTCTAACATTTTCTTCCATAATTTTATTATGTCTTTCTGTCTCATCTCGTTTTAATTTCTTATCTTTTGCATCGATAACAGTATTTGCAATAGCACTGGCACCTCCTGCTAATGCACTAAGAGCACCTATACCTGCTATAATAAGAGGTAAAAAACCACCTACTTTATCTTTATTTCCAAATTGAAATTTTGTAATTTTTAATCTCACCCCCTTTTTATCTTTTTTAGCTTTAGTTAACTTATTATTTTGTCTATCAGTTAAATTTAATTTGTTTTTTCCATTACCAATCTCGCAAGCCCGGATTAAGATAATTTTGGGCCCGGGGCCAAACAATTTTAGGGGCCCATATCCATAATCAAAATTTTGGTGACCCACAAATAAAAATATTTCAGAAAAAAAAATATATTCATCAATTTATTTCTTATTTTTTTTTTTAAATACAAAAATAAATATGTTATTAAAAATATTTTTTCTAGATTTTGGGCAGCAAACTCTTTAATTATATCATCGGTATTAATTACCTCCAAAACATCACTCTCTGAACACAAAACCATAAAACTATTTAAATTTTCTTGAGAAGAGCTTGTTCTATACTTGTTTTTTATTCGAGCTAATTTTGAGAATGCTCTTTCAGCCGAACAATTTGCAATAGGTATGGTTAGATATATTTTAATTGCAGTATACAAATTAGGAAAAGAAAGTAATAGATTTTTTTCATTGAAATGCTTCCAAATATCTAGCAGATAATCTTGTGTGTCATCATATGAAGGTTTACTGATAGACTAATATTTTTCGAATTGTATAATTTCATTTTGTATAGTATTATCAACATCTTTTTTATACAATGAAATACAATTTTCAAGACTTTTATTATCTTCTTCAACTTCATCAGTATCTTGTAGTAAAACAACATGTAATTTTGTGATGAACAAAAAATTGTTTTTTTAGAAAACTATAAGCTTCAATTCGTTTTTCTAATTGTGAACAAAAACTATCTATAATAACATTATAAGTCTCTACTCTAAACTTGTCATGACCACTTAAAGATACCTGATTACAATCAGAGTCATTTGGAAATTTCTTTTTTTTTATTCTCTCTTGTTCATCGGAGTATTTCTCTTTTATTTTAGGACTAAGTTGATTTATTTTATTTTCATATAATGTACCTTCATAAGTTCCACTCATATTAGGAGCATTATCATATGACTGACCGTGACAATTTAAAATATCAAGTTTAGAATTTTTAAGAAAATCTTCTAGCAATTTGAAGATTGACTCACCTTTGTGACTATCAATAGGTTTAAGCTCTAATAATCTCTCTTGTACATTATGTGATGTACAATATCTTAATACTATTGCCATTTGATCTACCTTAGATAAATCCGGAGTTAAATCCAAAATTAATGAATAAAAATTTACTTTCTCTGATTTCATTTTCAATATAATTAATAACACGTCTCTTTATCAGAGTTATTAATTCGTTCAAAATTGTTGTAGATAGGTATGATGGATGACCTCTCCCTTTATTACCGTGCAATTCAATATAGGTTTTCAAAAATGGATCAAACTCAGAAATTAGGGTATTCGTTTAGTATGTGACCTACCGGTTGAAAATCGAATTTAGTATGTGACCTACCTGTAGTACTGGGTTTAGTGTGTGACCTACCTAGACGATTATCTATACCTATTATATTTGTAGATAGACAATCTATGCTTGCTTATCTTTATAGTTATATTATATTATATTTACTGGTTTTTACTAATTCTATGCTTGCTTATCTTTATAGTTATATTATATTATATTATATTTACTGGTTTTTACCAATAGATATTTTGTCATTCTAACATTATCGACAATATTGTCAGTACCTGTTCTGTCGTCAATCCGATATCGCGTGTTTAAAACTTTAAAATGTTGGCAGTCGAATTGTATGCGATTATTTCTTCTGAAAAAACAGTATTAGAATTTTTACAAAAGAATAAACTATTACCACAAAATAACGAAACTAATTTATGCCATAAATGTCATGGTGAAACTAAGATGTACATGAGAAAAAAATGATTGGCTACGGGTGAAATTCGAGAGATCAGCACTATACGATGTATCACAAAAGGATGTCAGACATATAAATCAATTCGATCGAAAAAGATGGGAGGACAAAATATAGTGGTACAAATTGATGAATCGTTATTGAGAGGAAGAAGAAAGTATAACCGAGGAAGACTGCTGCTAGGTGATCTGCGTCATGAACAAGTACAAGATAACTCAGCAGACTTCAATTCTGACAGTGATCAAGAAAATCAAATAAACCTAGCTAATTCACCTACATCAAACAGAAATTATGGTCGTAGACTAGGACCCTGGGTATTCGGATTATGTAGCAAAATCGGAGATAATTTGGAACGAAGATTTTTTGTTGTAGAAAAACGTGATAGAGAAACTTTAATTCCGATTATCGAAAAAGTAATATTACCTTGTTCTATTATAATGTCAGATGTATGGAAAGCATATTCTTGTTTAAAAAATATAGGCTATGATCATAGAACAGTAAGTATATTTGTACATATTGAAATATCGTTTAAACCAGAAAATCAATTTAAAAATTATTGTCTTCAAATTTTGTACTGGACAGTATTATAAGACATCAAACTCAATAATTTATTTTTATAAGATATTGGTGTTTATTTGTTTAGTATTTATATGTGTGTATACTGTATTGTAAACTTTAAAACTGTACCATACCTATTGATTTTTATTATACTATATTTTTTTGTAATTGATTTTTATTTGACAATTTAAAAAATAGGCATACATTTTCAAATACAACCAATATTTTGGTTTTTATAACCAATTTAACGGAAAAAATAGGTAACAGTAAGTTAATTAAGGATCAAGGTATACCTTCAGTGAGAAAAAAAAAATTTCGGTTTTCAAACGAATAGCCCCACCTAGAGATCCTATTCTTACATAAGCTTACAAGATGGTGCTCCGGCCCATAACTGCCGGCAGGTTCAGGACTATTTAAACAACATTTACGGAGGTAATTATCATTATCATAATATTTTGTTTGATTGCTACTTATAAAAATTTTAATATTATACATATAATATTTAAAGTTACACAATTTTCTTCTCATTTATATTCATATAGGTATTTATTTACATTAACCCAATATGTTATGGATACAATTTATACAAATAAGTACCTATTACATTTAATTTAAATTGTATTTTTAAGATAACTGGATGGGTACCCGGAGTCCAGAAAATTCAATGGCCAGCACGTAGTCCAGACGTGACACCTTTGGATTTTTTTTGGGGGGGATTTGTGAAGAATGCTGTTTATGATATAATGCCATCCAGTAAAAATGAGATGATAAAAAAAATTACAGAAGTCTGTTCAAATATACCAGTTGATATTATGAAAAAATGTACAACTGAAAATGTCTTAAAACGTATGGCATTTTGTATGTCACAAAATGGTCAACATTTTGAACACATATTAAAAATAAATAATCCAAGAATTTTATGTAGTTGGATCTTCATACATTTTTTCTTTCAAATCCTTATTAATTAATGGTATTGGACTCTTGGGATTCCGATTTGATTGTTAATCAAATAATATCACTACATTAATTTAATATTAGTTTTTGTACAATAAAAAAAAAGTTATAAGATTTTCAAATAGTGTAACTGTAAAACACGATTTTAGATAGGTAATTAATTAATTAAATTCTTAAATAGTGCTGTAAAATTATAATACCTATTATAGTATTATTCTATTTCATTTTCTACTATTATCATACCAAGGTTTATAGATAATAGAGGTTGCCTCATAGTCATGTAAACAAATCGATCCCCCCGAACCATTCCTTATCTACTGACGTCACCAGAAGTACAAAATTCACGGCGGCGCATTTCGAAATGCTGTAGGGCATATATTTTTTTATTTTTTATGGTATACTGTTTTATTATTTTTTATTGATTTACCTCTAATTATTAATGTCAATTTATTATAATTGAATATTGTATTTTATTACTTGAAAATACGTGATGTGTATAGTATTATTAATTATTTTTTTTTTAAATATAATTTTAGACATGTTATAATAACACCCACAGTCATCATATTATATTTAACTATTTTTTTAAAATTTTACAAATTGTATCTCATTGTAGTTACATGGAATTATAAGCATCTACTGAACTGAACTAAAAAGTTAGATTATTATAGTTACCTATTACAAATTAAGTAGAAAAGTATAATTATGATAAAATATTGCTATGAGTTCCTACTTGAAAACACTGCTATATAGCCTATATAAATAAACCTATAATGTGTCTATAATTGTTGTCATTATGAGTAAGTACATTAGGGATGAATCAATTACAAAAATAAAAATAATCCAATTATTGGTTTATTAATTACATTATTGTCACATAGGTATATAAACCTTGATAATATATACAAAAAAAAATCAATAAATTATGTCATAAGTCGTTTGAGTTTTTGCAGTCGTTGTAGATTTGACTTAGCTTTTCTTTTTTTAATAAGTAAGACACTATGGTGGTTTAAATGCTTCATTCGTATGAGAACCCTTTGCTTAACATACTTTTGCACAACAGGATAATATTTTTCAGGCATTTCCATTCTATTGAAAACTTTTTTTGTCAAATTTTTAACAACTCCTCGTCCCTCGGGAATTTTATGTTTGGTTAATTTATTGAAAAGTTTCTCTATTCTAAGAATATTATTTTTGAACTCATCACTTGGAACTATTAATCCACCATAAGATAAGTGATTTATCCATGGCGGCATCTCATAATCATGTCCGTTGGAGCTTTTTTTTGAATTTTGTTCTGTTGTTGTAGAACCAAGCTCAGGAAATTTTAATCTGAATGTCTTAGCTACCCAACCTGCCAAGTATTCAACTGCATCTTGGACCATTTCATTTTTATCATTACAATTGTTTATTATTGACTCACTATCACTATTTGTGTCTGTAGTATATTCACCGTCATAGATATTTTCAGATACATAATTTATTTTTAAATCAATTTTCTTCATTGTTTTGGCTAGTAAAAACTCTTCATTATTAGTATCAGTGGTATTAGTTCGATTAGATGTTACACCAGGGTTTTTTCCTAATATTATCATGCGAAGTCTATATAAGGCATTCAAAGGAGACGGATGGTCATTTAACCCACCCCTAGTCCGTAGTTGTGAAAATAGGTTTTCCAGTGCATCTTGATTAACCTTACTAGTTAGAATATACTTTAATCCATGACCTCGAACAATTTTCAAAAGTAGTTTCATCCCATTTATGTGCATGAGAAGTGCCTTTTGAAAAATCTGAAGACCATATTTTCCATTGCATCTCATTAACAAAAATGTGTTGTACATTTTATCTAATAGGGCATCTTGATCATCTAAAAATAATCCATAAGGAGCTGTATATGGGGTTCGATGGTCATTTGAATGAGAAACATTAGACAAATCAAACCAATTATTGACTAATTCAATAAAATTAGCAGTATCGTTAAGTAACTTTGTATCATCGATAGGCTTATAATGCAGAAGCGCTGTTGCAGTTGTGTGCGACAATAAATGTGAGGCTAATTTGACTTTTTGACGCTGAGGTCCTTCACAGGTTAAATGCCCTTCACTAAGTTTATAACAAATATTAATTTCTGATAATGTTTTTTTTATTAAACTTTCTAATGGTTTTTTGTTGATCAGTTGTTCATTAATTTGAAATCCAGTATCTAGTAGCCAATTTCTTATAAGTTTCAAAATATGAGGTGCATCAGGAATAAATACAATTTCTTTTTCGTTTGGAGTAGAGAAAATAGGATTTTCATAGGTTATGTCTAAAGCTTTCCATAAGCCAACATTTCCACCACCACAATCACTTACACAACATACTACATTGAACCCAATTTGATCTAGTCTATCAATAATACTGAAAAGAATAGATTTTGTCATTTTCTGGTCAAAACCAACATAGATGGGTTGTTTCCACTGAGAAGCGATTCCTCTAGCCATAACCCCTTGCATTTGACTATGGGGGCCAACTACTTCGTCATGGAGCACATCATACTCCATAGTACTGGATATTTTTACTTCATCGAACATTAAGACGGTGAATTTTTCATAATCCTGTAATGTATCACCATTAAGCTTCATCATTCTGATTACATCCTCAAGAATACCATTTCGCATGTCTATATTTTTTGCCAATCTTTGGAGAGAAGACAGACCTGAAATATTTAACAGACAAAGTATAAATAAATTTTAATATTATTTTTGTAATGAAATATCAAAGTAAATAAAATAAGTATAATTTACCAGGCAAAGGATAATGCAATTCATCCTTAACGTAACTATATGCTCGTTTACTGAAGTATCTCAAAGTAAACGCTTTTGAAATGTCTTCAGTAGACCAATGAACCCTCTTTTTCTTTTTCATTATCAAGTCTACTTGGTTTTTAGAAAATATTGTTGATAAATATTTTTTAGCTTCAACATCAACCGTACGAAATTTTGTTTTTAGAAAGTTATTTAATATTTTTTGTCAGCTCTTTATTATTTTTTGTTAAAAGTGAATTTGTTGTCTGTAGATCTTGTTTTGAGGATCTGAGAGATTCATTGATTTTTTGATAGTCAATAACAGATTCTTTATTAGATAAAAGTTCATGTTTCTGTGAGTTTATAATAGACTCATTTTGCAAGACTTCATATTTTTTAAGTAAATCACTGTACAATATTTCATAATTGGGTTGAGTAGAAAGTATAGAATCATCATCAGTTATTACTGTAGAACTAAGTACATTTTAAGACCATGTTTTATCAGTGTTCAAAACTGAATTGATTAAGTCATCGTGATCCTATAACATATAAAAAAACTATGATTAGAAAAAACACTAAACTATGTAATATCAAAATGACTGATTTTAACACAGATTAAGTCATAATCAAATTATATTTAGATCATATCAATATTTAATAGTAATTTTGTAATAACATGATAGGTTACTGGTTAGCAAAGGTGGGCATTAACTAATTAAAAAGTTAAAGCTAACTTTATAATTTAGTATTTAATATACTTTTCTAGTTAATACAATAAATAAATTTTAGAACTTTTAGAATTAAATATGAGGTTTGGTAATTGTTAACTTTTAGCTTAATGTTCCAAATGTTGACTTAACTCAACTAAGGTTAATTGTTGTCATTAAATTGCCCGCCTTTACTGGTTAGGGATACTTCAATAGCCTTTAATAAGTTTTTGTTGGTCAAAAGTCTAGATGATAAAAGTTACTGGTTTAGAATTTTACAAGACATATAATTATCATTTACCTGTTTTTTTTTTCTTGATTCCATTCTACTTTTACGGCTAGATGATGTTGTTGATGATACATCACTGTGAGTATGGTCTACTGGTAAATTAATGGTAGGCATCGGGTTTTAATTTACGAAATTTAGGAGTATATGCTACAATATTATTAAAACAATTTGATAAAAAAATTGGTATTATGAGGTAAATTAATTAAAAATAACTATAATTACCTAAGAGTTCGGCTTTAAGATCTCGAATATATGCATCATCACTAAAACACATGTATGATAAACTAGGAGTTATATTATCTCCTCTCCTACACTTAAGTGTCCACTTCTTTTGCAACTCTGGGTCTTTTGGAAATCTAAACATTAAAGTAAAAACTAAATTTTTGATTGAAGTATGATAAACTAGTAAATATTTGTTGAGTCATTGGTCTTAAATATTGACTACTGCAACTTTAAAATGTAGGTACTTAAAATGATTCAGTATCAAACAAAATAATATTTATATACAAAATGTAATTTACTTCATAAGTATTAAATTATTTATTTTAGTATTATTACCTGTAAAATGATATATTAGTTTTTCCATCTCGCTTCACCTTGCCAGCATAGTTAATGCATGTCGCTACTGCACAACATGATCCACCTTTGGGTTTTAACGATTTTGTAGCCATATTGTCTTAAATTTACTTAAATTCATAAATTATTTTAATAATAATGGTAATTCGTAAATAAATTAAATCGTACGGTTCTGAACAAAAAAAATTATGTGAACATTGAGAACATAACACGCAAACACTGTAGCTGATATCTAATAAACAAACATTTTGTACTTCGGCTGACGTCACGGCGTAGATGCCCCCACTCCCATAATTTTATAATTTCTAAATGAGGCAACCTTTATTATCTATAAACCTTGTTATCATACAACATTCATATCATTCACAATATCACAGAACATTGAACAATATTATTTAAGATAATTGATAGGACTATCTTAAATCGTGCACTTGTGCATTATCACCTAAATATGGGTATTTATTATTTACTTTCTGCATAATATTATAATCATATTACCAGTCACGGACTTATCAAGGTATACCTTAGTCATTAGTGGTAATAAGATATAATTATGTGGTGATGCCATTTTAATTTTTAAATAATTATCTGTGAAATTGTGATTAAAATAAATGTGTCATAATATATTTCCAGTTTTTATTTATCATTCATTGGTTATTCGGTATGTCCAATTAGTCGATAAGTTAAGAAATGATTAGGGTTCAAAGTACAATGGTAATCTATAATTAATTGTTATTTATTTTGTCACCTTGGGTTCAACGATATCAAATTTATGATTAGCTCCTGGTCTTTACAATTATTGAAAATATTTTGAAAACCACCAATATTTTGAGGAGCTGTATCTCGCGGTCCAGTTTTATGACTAGAAATGGATCTTTCAATTATATTACAATGTATTTCAATGAACTTATTTTCAAAATAATTACTGAATATAACATCTAAACCAATATGTGTATGGATATATTTTTTACCTAATCCTAGGCTTGATGTTAAATTTTCATCCAATAAATAATAAATACTAGATATTATTGTAATTTGTTTATCTGTTTGTTGTATTTTTATATTTGATGGTAGTATTTTATTTAATTGATCAATAGTATAATTTTTCTTTCCTATTATAGTTTTGCTATTTTCTGTTTCGATAACACCATTTATTCCCTTTAGGAAACCTTGAGTGTAAAATTTTGGCATCAATGTACCATTTACAGTTCGTTTAAATGATTGTTCAGTTTTATAACTTGAAGAAGAATTAAACAATGGAATTCCTAAACAATTAGTTAAATAAGAGTCAAAAACATACTCATAGTTAGTTGAAATCACTAAATATCTATTAACCACTGTAATTTTAGTATTAACAACGTTCTGGTCTGGATTTAATAAATTTTGAATTTCATTAATAGAATATACTCCAAAAGGTATTTTATGTGAATCTTTTTCTACTTTAAACTCACATTCCTGTTCAATATTTATGTAATATTCATCACTAGTGGGATAGTAAATTGTTTTGTCACTTGTCATTTTGTATATTTGTATTTGTAATATTCTTCATTTAATTTCTTTAATACTTTAATTACAGTAGTGTCAAAACCTTCAAACTTCAACCTTCAAACTCTATACGATGGTATGAATCTCCATTATCAAGTATTTTTTTATACCTGTAATAAAGGTAAAGTGTAGACCACCCTTTATCATTCATTTCATATATATTTTCAGAAATAGTCTTAAAAAATCTATCTGGTAAAATGAGTTTATATTTATTATCCAATACAACAGATACTTTATGCTGCCCATTAATGTTAACAAGTTCAAAAGCAGTAACTTCATATCTTTCGTCAGCTACCAGTTCTGATAATTTAATAAATTTATACTTGTATCCATATTTATTAAACCGCACTTTTAAATCTACTGAATCTATTGAGCTAGACATTTTCAATTCAGACATTTTTATTTTTTATTTTTATATTTATTTAATAAGAAAAAAATTGTAATAATATTATTAGTATAAACATTTAGTTAGTTTTATTAATAGTTTTTAAGTAGTTAACAAAATCTGCTCTATCTATTCCGATATTCTTATGACCCCCATGTCAATGTATCTGTTTTTCCATCAATTAAATGTCTTTTGTCATCAAACCAGTTTAATCCTATTTTAGTCTGCTTTATAGTACTAATTTCATGTTTTTCACTACGTATCATTATCTGTTCTACATTTTTACATATATTATTTTCTAAACATAATTTATAATCATCATGAGTTATATTATTCTTAACTATATTTTTCTTTACTCCTTTAGCTTTCCTAATACCTTTATTTGAAGCAAATAATTTAATTGAATAAGACTTTGTAGCAAGTCCAATAAAACTTTCAATAATTTTTCCATTCATTTCATCTTTAAACTTTCCCATTACTTTATTATTAATCTGAGGTATACCATAAACATTATGTTTTTCATAATCAGATGTATCATATTCATCAATATTTGCTTTCATATCCTCATATAAATCTAATGTTTTAATTTCACATACTAATGAATCAGTGTCACCGTATAATAATTTAATGTTATCCCCATATCTTTTTTTCAGCTTATAAAAATAATCATACATTAAAATTTTTAAACTCTAAAATACATATACCTATATACATGGGCTGATTAAAATAGATTTCTGTTTTGTTCATTTCAATAGCAGACAAATTTTTACCAAAAAATGTAGATTTTTTAAAATTAGGTTTAGAAACATATTTTGTATATTTATCACCTTCAGATATTAATCTTATATCCACATGGTTTCTTACATTCATCATTGTTCTTCCAAAAACAGAATTATTCATTAATTTATAAAAAAGTTTCTCAAAAATATTTTTTGCGTTCTTTCTTAAATTTGTATTTTTTTCAATATATACTCGCATCCAATCAGACTGATAAAAACTAACAACTTTATGAATTTTTCCTAATTTTAAACCCGCCTTCAAAGCTTGCTGTAAATTTAAATAATGAGTAACATAATTCTTTTTATCATATAGTGTAGTTAATAATTTTGGTAATTTTTTACCATCAAATATGTTTTCTGGACAATATGGTAGATCATTGTGTTTTTCATGAAGTTCTTCTGGATAAATTAAATCTACTTCAAAAAGGTAACCTGTTTCCTGTTTTTCCTTCATTCCTAAAATCCTATCCTCATCAAAAAAAGCTGGATTTGTCCATTCAAAACCACCATAAGGCAGATATTTTGACATAGCATACCCGTATAAGTTATTTGCATCTAAGTACTGTATATATACCGAATCTTTATTTTCATTAAACTTTTTACCCATATATTTATTATTTGCTTCACTATACCTATTTGAACACTGGGATAAACCACCCCGTTTAGCCCTTTCAAACATTAAAAGAATATCTACATCAGTAATTAATTCAATTTTTTGTTTTGTAGTTTTTAACATACAACTCCAAGCAAATCCGGGTGTAGTATAATACCAAGCTGGATCTAATCCATATGTATTTAACGAAGTCTCTCTAAAATATTCCATAACATCAGCTAATAAAAGTACATCTATAGTGTTGTATAACATATTAAATTCTTGCATATTTTTTATGTTAAAAAATTTCCAAATTTCTTCAGCATAATGATATTTTCCATCGGTAATATTTTCACTGTTTAATGAATTATAAAAAGACTCTTTGGGAGGTAATTTTGTCTCTTTATATTTATCTAATGAGGTCATATAATCATATGGAAAAGCTAATTTTTTTGTTAATAATCTTAATAAATATTTTCTTTCTAATTCACTTAAATTATTAGGAACAGTTTTTTCAAACCATTTTTTTAAAACTTTAAAATTACATAAATTCATATTATTAGCTAACTCAGACAAAGAACTAGGTTGGAACCTATAATAATCTAGGAACCTAAGTTCAATATCAGAATATTGAGAATATTGCTTGCTTTTTGCAAGCTTGTCTTGCGAATACCTTATTCTCTTAGAAAATGAAATATATTTTTCCTCGCTTGTGGTAATAAGATCTATATCATCAGTATCCCCTCCTAATTCTTTAACTAATAAATGTGAATCATAACCTGAAAAATTATGAAAGAAAACAGGAATAAATCTTGGAACTTGAAAAGTTAAATTACAATAATTATGGGCAGGTCCCCTATATAGACCTGTTAAATGATCATGATCTCGAACTTTATAAAGATTCTCTTTTTTATAATCAACTATATTGGTATATTTCCTTTTCAAGAAACTTAAAATATGGGTAGGTATGCTAGTTAATTTTTCTTCACAAATATGACAAATTGTTGCATTTTCATACTCTTTTTCCTGTATCTCGGTGAACTCATTCATTTTCTTAACATTATCTAAATAATTTTCAGCTATATATATAACATCTTCTCTTAATTTTTTATATAATACTTTTGGAGCATCTTCACCAAAATATTCAAAAGTTTTTCTTTCAAAATCGCCATTGGCATATACAATAATATAAACAAAACTTATTGCAATATGTTTCTGAATTTTAACTGTACTACAATTTTTCTTTCTCTCATTTATCTGTTTTATAATACTTTCAAAATCTGCATAAATAACAAAAGGCACTTTCATTTTATGATTAAAATTTTTAAATTCAATAATATTATTAAATCAACCGTGATGTCTTATTTAATGCACAGTAACTCCTATGATTTAACAATTTTTCTTCAGTTTGAAAACTATTTAAACACATTCTGCAAAGTTATCTCTTTTTACAATTTTTTGTAATTTTACCCTTAACTAACACCCATACATTTTTTATTAAACAATAATGTGTATTATCACCGTCTTTCAAAAGTAATAAATCAATATGTACTTTTTTCTCATCTTTCGATACAGATAAGGGATTTATATTATATTTCTCAACATGATGATAAACATTAATAGATAATCCACCTTCAATCAAATTTTTTCCATTAACACTGTTTAAAATACTAGGAATCTTACTAACTTCCATTGGATACTCAATATCTATAAACATATAATCAAACAAATTTTCATATTTTTTATATTTTGTTACTCTTTGCGGATCTTTCTCGACTGGATATAAATGAGCTAAGATTGACCATAAAAAACATTTATCATCATCTTCATTTTTTACATTTATAACTGCTTTTCTGTTAGTTATTTTCACTGGAGTTGGTATATAAGAGCTACCGTTTATGGGAGCATATTTATTTATGGCTACATTGAGAGTGTTAATTGAAATTAACACCCATTGTGATCCTCTTAAACTATCTGAAACACGTTCATGTTCATATAATATTTTAGCTTTCATTTCTTTATATATTTCATCTAAATTTGACTCTGGAAAAATATCATAATTCGGTGCTTGCAAATATTTAACTGCTGATTCTACAACATCTATAATACCACCTTTTTCATAAGTACAAATAACACATAAATGAGCTTTTACAGACTTATGTTTAAATAACCATTTCTTAATAAGACCAAAAACAGATTTCTTTGTACTATCTATAAAATCAGGTATATTTTTAATTCCAGTTTTATTACCAATTTCAAATTGAGTATGTCTACTTTTAAAATTTTCTTCGTAAAATGTAGGCTTATAAATAGATTGTTCCTTACTGGGTTGCTCTATTATATCTTCATGAAATTTAAATGGAAATCCTGTTAACCAATAATGTTTTTCTTCGTCAGTTAATTTAAAAATAATCTCTAATCTACTGTCATTATATGATGAATGCTTTATTTTTCCAATTAAAATACTATACAATCCTTCCAAATTCTGAGTAGCAATTTTCTTTCCATATTGTATGCAAAATGTATAGTTTCTTAAAAAATGTTCTATCTGTTTATCACTTTTATTTAAATATTTATTATGTGCTTGAAAAAACTTAAACCATTTTGAAACATCTATGTCTTTATTTTTTTTCTCAGTTTTTATAAATCTTATTGAAACCTGATTATCCATTTATTAATATAATTTATTGACAAAGTTATTTTTTTTTTTTTTTTTTTTTAAATAGAAATTTTTGTTTTTATTTAATAAGTAAATTTTTTAATAACGAAAATTATTCTTAAGGAGTGTTCTCTTTACTCATATTATCCATCCTTTTTGAGTGAGATTTAGTTAACAAATGCCTCTTATGGGCTCTTAAATGCATTACTTGACCACATTCACATGCTACCAATTCAGTGCTAACTTTGGTTTTCATACAACTTTTACACCATTTTTGGTTTTTACTAAATTCATTAACACTCTTGAATGTTTCACATTTTGAGCATAAATATACATCTCCTGCTTTCAAAGACTGCAATAATACCTCATCTTTATTTATCAACTCATAGATACGGATAATTTTATTATTTCGATTCATTTTTATATTTATTTATATACAAATTTTTTTAATTACATCATGCTACTAATTATGTTTTTGAGTTTAAGTTTGATAGTTTAAGTTTCAATATCTATAAAAACTACCATTTCAATTCAATACAACATCGGCAACATTACAATCTGATACAACATCGGCAACTTTTCAATCCAATACAACATCGGCAACATTTCAACCCAATACAACATCGGCAACATTTCAATCCAATACAACATCTCAAAACTTAGATTAAATACCTATTGCTATTCGAAATTTTCTGTAAATAAAAGTGAATTGACGCTTAGTACAGAGAAAACTAGATAGAAACAGGTATACATGATAGCCAAGTGGTTTCTTTGCTATTTATTTGCAGTATATAAGCACTATATAAGTGTTTCGGTCTTGAGATCCTTTATGCCGAGCTGTAGGTGTTGATAAGCTGTTAATGTACTAGTTTACACTTGTCCACGAAATTTTTACATCAATTCGATTATTAAATTAAATCAAAGAAATAATACTATTAAATTAAATTAATGAAATAATATTATTAAATCAAACCAATGAAAT